AACGATTCCTTGACGTCTTTTGTGGGAGTATTTGCCAAATCTTCTATCTCTGGGACTTAACTTGGGCACCATATGCCACCTTTTAAACGTCTTCTCCAATATTAACGAATTTAGAGAATTTTTTCGATAACTAAACCGATGGGCGCAGGTGGAAACAGACGAGAAAACGCATGGACTCCAGAGCTATCATATAAATGTACGGCGAAGCGGAAGGTAAACGAACGGATACATGGACATGGACGTATAGACTGAAAAACAAACACATTAACCGGTAGTCCAAAGTATGCACGTGGACGACGAAAAGTAGGAAGAATGTACTCACGACACGTAAGACAATTGCTCCACTTACACACGAACAGAATAGAATGCAATTGGACAGACACGAGTGCGAACTGAGAGACGAGCGAGTAAATCGGCTTTCGCTTAAATAGATGGGCGCGTAAGCAACCATGACAAAAGCTTTGCCCACGAACACATTATGCACCGAGCACGCAAACTACAGGATGTGTAGCTCATGAAATGACAAGCAAATCGCGAATTGATATCCAAGTAAGCGAAAGTGTAAACTGAAGAATGTGTAGGCAAGCGAGGAAACTAAGAAATGGCTGCATGTAAGGATATCTTAATCGCGGATGTGTGCGGGCGCGTAGCAAATTCGAGACGAGAGGATAGGTTTACGGCTTCAATGCGCAAACTAAGGCCAGAATGCAAAGAAAGCAAGGGCAAGAGCTGAGAAATGAATGGACATTCATCGTCAAAGTACATGATGCAATGTCCTTTGACGGGCCTTGGCCGAATCAAGTCGTACTAATCGGGAGCACATTCAGAAAGTTTTCCGTTAAAGTACATGATGCGATGCCCTTTGGCATAGACATAGGCCTTGGCCGAATCAACTCGTACTAATCGGGATCACATTCCGAATGTTTTCAATAATAATTTTCTTGATAATCTAGAGAGGAAATGAATCCATCACTTGTGCTGCTGCGACTGTTTGAAAGATGACTAATTCAGGATAAATAAAATTTTTCAATTCAGACTAGAATCGGACAAAATCGAGTTTCTCTTAATTTGTAACATGCATTCTAACCGTAGTTCTCTGCTAGTCTAACATTGCGAATTGCGAAATTTAATTGACTTCTATTTGTTGGTGCTATTGCTGTTGCTGTTTGTGTTGCTGTTTGCTGAATGTATGGAAAGTAATTTTTTACTTTTACTTGATTTTTAGCACTTTTTCTTTTTGTGTATTTCTCTTTTGTTTTTTTTTTTTTCTTTTTTTTTTTTGTGTTAACCAATTTATTTACATTTTATTATAATTTCTTTTGTATCCCCTAGAGAGAGAATGGCACGAAAAGAAATATATTTTCAGCTTAGTGTAGGTTTAACTTCGACATTATTGTTTACATAAGTGCTTATGTATGCGCTCGTGTTGATTTTGTTTAAAATGCTTTATGGTTTTGCCGGTCTCGTGAGAACCTCTAAATGGGTCAAATGTATTTAAAAATATACTCATTTTTTTTTTCTTTTTTTTTTATTCAGTTTTCTTTTTCAAGAACAACGAGCACATTTTTTGTAGTCTTTTCTTTATCTTCTTCTTATTTTTTGCTTGATGCATGTTAGCAGATATTGTAAGAAAATATAGGTGTGCAGCAAAGACCTTTTAACACAAATACATCTTGAATACAATTTTTTTTTTTTTTTTTTTTTTTAGTTTTTGTTCTTAGAATCTTTTAAACAAAATGTTTGATTAAAAATATTCACACACTTTTGAAGATGGAAAAGTAGGTCAACTCCTAACTGAATGCATTGACCTATTTTTTATTTTTTTTTTTTGGTGTGGGGGGATGGGCGATGGGGAAAATTCGAAATTTTTCTTATAAAATGCATAAAGAAAGAGCTGAGATAAAAATATAAATTTATTTCATTTTCACATTTTCATATGTTCTTTGTTTGTTTCTGTTTTTTGAGACCGTTCACTTAGCTTGTGCCCCTTGTGCGTGTAGACGCACGCACGGAAGAATTACAGATAGAGGGGGAAGGAAAGAAAATTTTGTGCTTGCTCCACTTCAAAGTGCAAGCATTCGGAACGTTCTTCTTCTTCTTCGGTTGAATAGTCTCACGTTAACCCTTTGAGAACCTTATACAGGAAGGGCACTAGGATCATTGAAGATCATTTTGCTTCTTGTTGGCTGAACGAAAGAATGAATTGGTAATCTTTACCTACATAGGATATATAACAAGTTACATGACTACCTCGTGTAATCCCTATCATGCTCCTAACTGTACGCATAACCGGGAAAAGTTTGATTTGGGAGGTTTTGTGGAGACGAAAACCTATAGTGAAGTGCAAAAACATGAAGAGGTTAGGTCGTCGAGAATTCCCGCCAGCGAAAAGGATTGAAAACTTTTTACACAAAGATACCTCAACACGAGGACGCAATCGTACTCCTAATCCTTCAATTGTTCTAGCTCTCCATTTTTATATCGAAGGTCAGAGAAACAGTTGAGAAGAATTTTGATTTGTCGTCTACAGCATAGCCAAATAGCTGAGCAGATCGATTATTAAGTAGGCATACGCCAGTTCAATCCATATTAAGGTAAATCATATTGTAATTATGATTGACATGCGGCCGCATCTAATCGGGAAGGGCATGACTGAGTGAAGAAATAATGACTGACTGAGTAAAACAAATGAAAAAGGCGACAGTGGAACACGGCCTATCCTTAAATACCCTCCGGCACTTTGCCTAACCTATTTATTCATATTCATATGACGAGATTTGAAAATAAGTTGTTTTATGCGAAGTGAAAGAAAAAATGGTCCGTTCCGAACTATCATCCTTCGTCGATGGACCGAATTTCATTGAAATATCTTGAAAATTGCGACCTGCACCTCGAACAGAACAAAACAACACAGACAGACAGAAAATGATTTTGAATCGATCGGTATAAGAAAAGGTGGGTCCATCTCTCCCACGCAAGCCTAGTATCTCCTTGCACCATAAGTGTTGTAGGATTCAAAAAAAGAACCCTACATTCCCACACACACAAAATTGAAAACGTTTTCAGATGCTTCCTTTTTCAAATTCTCCTCAACTTAACATAACAGAGATTGGTAAGGCTTGGTGGATCATGCCAGTTAATCTTTCTAACTTTAATGTTAAAACTTCAAAAAGCTGCAAAAGGACTAAAGACGGTTTACCTCACGTTGTGGCATTACCGAATACCTTCAATTCACTTGTGATTAAAAGTTTCCCGGTAACGAGAACCAACTGCACAATATATTGGAAATTGAGTTCGAGCCATCTCAGCCCACTTGTGTTCAAGGATCGATACACTTGTCACACTTGAAACATACGATTATTTTGCCAAAAACGGTTCTTGACGATAATAAAGTTATGGGATAACATGAAATCTTTTTTTTTTAGAAGAGACTCTTTCGAGTTAAGCCCCATTAGTCGTTACCTTAACACTAGCATTGTACCCATTTCTGCTAAGCAATGACGGTTCGAATATTTTAATAGTTCTAATGTTAAGATTGACTTACGATAGTGGGTAGCTTTTCCTTTCCAGCTTTCTAGCTTCACTAAAAGCGCAATGATATAAATGCTAAAGTAAAATTTATTACATTTAACAAACACGGTCTGCGTCCGTCCGATCATCTATTAAAGTAATAGCAGTATTTATAAAATTGATTTAATTTTTACCTAAAGCATTTTTAAAAAAATGTGTGTGCGTATATACAAGTGTGTGTGTGTGTGTAAAATTTCTGAAGCAAATCGATTCGTGGTTGTTGTCTCCGTTTATTGTACAATACTAAGATCCGGTATTGCAATATTGTAGTTATGTGCTTTGGCTTTATAGCGGCTTTTTTTGCATTCAATCGTTTATTATTATTGTGAACGAAATAAATAAGCGAACGTAACGAACGGCATCTGAAAAAAAATAAAAATACATAAATAAAAAAGAAATTTCGAATAACTTCTGATTGTTTTTGAAAAGAAAAAAGAAAAAAATGTTTACTTAGCTATTATCTTAGCTCAGAGAGAAAGAGAGAAAGAGAGAAAGAGACAGAAAGAGAGAGAAAGAGTTAGAGTGAGGTGCATTTACCGTATCTGTAGCGAATCAATGATATAGAAAAGTTCGCGTATAATATAAGAAAGCAAGAAATACACATACATGCACACTCAGCCATAGAGGCAAATAAGAAAAAGACTATAATTTGTGAAAAAGCAGCCACCAAAAACAAAGAAAGAAAGAAAGAAAGAAAGAAAAAAAAAAAATAGAAAGGAAAGAAAAGAAAAGAAAAAAATTAAAACAAAAGAAGAAGCAAAAGTTAACGTCATAAGCGAAAGTGAAATCTTTTCACAGTGATTTTGCTAATGAAACGAATGAATTCTTCAAAGTTGAATAGATTTAGCAGCCCGCTGCCGCTGCTGCTGCTGTCTCTGTTGCTGTTGCGTTTGCAGTTATTATTTGTCGTTGTTGCCTTTTTTGTTGTTATTGTTGTTGTTATTGTTGTTTCTGTTATTGCGGTCTAAGCATGTTTTTTTCAGCTCGTCACGACACCTCGGCATAGTCGAAGAAGAGAAGTTAATGTGTGTTCATTATTATTTTATAGAAATTTCTCGGTAAAAGTTATTCAAGTCCACGCAAAACAAAAGCTGAAAGCATTAAACCGAATTTAGTTTCGATGCCATAACAAGATGTTTTCGGTGTCTACAAACTTGGTTTTGTAACTGATCATTATTGTCTTGCTGATGACAACATTGATGATGAAAATTATTATTTATGACAAACACTGTCCAACATCATTATTATTATCGTAGTCATCATCATTATCATTATCGTTATCATTGTTTTCTTTCTAAGTCCACTGACATAACGATGAAAAACCTGGCTTCAGCGAAACTCTATTAAGAAATTTTTTTTTTTAATTTTTTTTATTTTTTTTTCTTTTAAAAAAAATTTAATTTCTCTTTCTAAAATTGTTTAAATTCCAGGGGAAGCCGAAAAGGTCAAATCACTTATCAGGCTAAGAGCTGAACTCTCTCCTTTATTCACAGGCAAGCGTAATGCCTCTAAATATGCTTGGGCGTAAGTATACATTCATACACAATGTACAAGAGCCGATGCCTTTCTTTCTCTATCTAATCTATTTCGCCTTTAAACTTTCTTAATAACTATATACTTTTATAAGTTACTTCACTGACTTTGCGTTTCGTTTGTTGTTTTTTTTTTTTTTTTTTTTTTTTGCTTTTGTCAAATAAAATAAAGTGTTGTTGAACGCGAGCTCAATGTTCCTTTACCGCTATCGAAAATTATTAAAAAATGGAATAATCTGTTGCAAGAGTACAAGGTCAGTTGATCAACATTTTCACAATCGTTTGAGTTAATTTTTGCTCCAAATATTAATAAATTCGTTATTTATGTTTCTTCACTATACTTGCCTCACTATCCGTACTTCTATCAACTGCGATTATCGTTGGAAAGGCTATTAAAATGTCCGAAGAACCTAAACGTCGCGAATGGCCGTTTTTCACTTTAATGGATGTTTATTTTAGCGATCAAGTAAACGATCCTTCGTTACGTTTATTCTCATCAACAAAAACTCTTAAGGAGACGATCGATGACAGCGTCTTTGAGGATGATCCCATTATAGCATCCGCTATAGCAGCGGCCAGTTCGGGAGCCTATATGAATATTGAAGAGTTGGTTCGACGTCAAAAGGAGAGAGCTGAAAAGAAATTTACAATGAGTGATTATAAATATGATATTAAGCCTATGCTAGCTAATAGTAATAAGTTCAATAGCAGCGAGACTATTAAACTATCAAAAAGTGTAGATGACCTGAGTATGCAACAGTACAAAATTAAAGACGAATTTTTGCGTCAACGTGAACACGAGCAACAAGAGAATCTAAATAAGCTCAAACAACAAGCTAAACAACACCAACAGCAACAGCAGCAACAGCAGCAACATCAACATCAACATCAACAACAGCAACTACAACACAATCTAATTCACTCACCAGCACATATATCACCGAACCAAGCACAGCAGCCGCAACATCAACTACCGCCACCGCCGCCACCCACGCCGCCCACAACCGCACAGCAAATACATTTACAAACCGCTCAACATCAAGCTGCTCAACAGCAATTGCTGCATCAACAGCAGCAGCAACTGCAACATCAACTTACCGATCCCAACACTATTGATCAGTATTTGCTGTCTTGGAATAATTTTCACGGTAATATGTGTCGCGGCTTCCATACACTGCAAAAAGATGAAAAAATGGTTGACGTTACCATAGCAGCCGGAGGCAAAATCTTCAAAGCCCATAAATTGGTAAATAAAAAGTGCTTTCAATTTTAATTTTAGGCCTGCTTGACATTCAATTTCCTTTAATCCGCCATATCTCTCTCTCTCTCTCTCACTCTCTCTCTCTCTCTCTCTCTCTCTCTCTCTCTCTCTCTCTCTCTGTCTCTCTCTCTCTCTTCCTCTCTCTTCCTCTCTCTTCCTCTCTCTCTCTTGTTTCTCACTTTCTAGGTTTTATCCGTTTGCAGTCCATACTTTCAACAAATCTTCCTCGAGAATCCTTCCAGTCATCCCATACTATTAATGGCAGATGTCGAGGCTAATCATATGGCTGGATTATTGGATTTCATGTACAGCGGTCAGGTGAGTATTTAGCATAGATCTCATTGCAATTTTTAATATATCTTCTAATCATTTCTACAATTCAGGTTAATGTTAAATTCGAAGATCTTCCAGTATTCCTTAAGGTCGCTGAAGCTATGAAAATCAAAGGTTTACATACTGAGGTAAGGCCTAAATTCTGACGCATTTATCTATTCGTTAGTGCTAGTCTAAGAAGAAGTTCACTTTCGATTCAATTTTAAAATTTCAAAAGTCTTTCGCATGCATCATCGATTCATTATCGAAATTTTTAATTGTAGAAAAATTTTGATGATGATAATAAGGATATCAGTTCAACGCACGAGAGTGAGTCTTCTGCTAATACAACCACCGGGACCACCGAATGCCATTTCGATCGATCAACCCACAGCGTTAATATTACCGGTCAAACTTACGATACCCGAAAATCGATACTCGATCTTAATATAAATGGTTCATCACACGCCGCCAACGGTAGCAATAGTATACTTATGCAACCGGGTTTCCCCAGTTTTCGCGATCACATTAAATCGAAAAGTACACTAACGGAGACTTTTATGAAAAATCTTAGTCGCAATAACAATAATAATAACAACAATATGAACGAGTGCAGCAGCAGCAGCAACAGCAATTACAATCATTTACCGAATAGCAATAGCGTGAATGATCATCTCAAAGGGAATAATTATTCTATATTACAGGCGAATAGTAAAAAAATGTTAGACTCGACACGTAAACAACATAAATATTTGGCCAAACGTCGAATATTAATGCATTATAATGAGGAGTTAAATGAAAAGCGTTTCAAAGAAATGGAACGCTATGGCCTCGATCAGGAAAGTGGCGGCAATAAACCTAATACAGAGGTTGCCATCCGTCAGGAAGCCATATTACCGCAACCGCATAATAATTTCAAGATACGTTTGATGGAAAATCATTTGAATACAAATACGAACGCGAATGCGAACGCGAATGCGAATACGAGCACGAATACGCATACGAATACGAATGTGAGTGCGAACGAACAGCGTGATACTGCGACTACTATAAATGATGACGAAGAGGAAGCTTTGAATTTGGTACAGAATAACAATAATAATAACAACAATAATAGTAGTAATAATAGTAGTAATAATAATGGCGGAGCTCATGATTTTAACAAATCAGAAGTGAAATTATTGCGAGACTTGAAGGGTGCAACCGATACAATTGCAGAAGGTGATCGTATGGATCAAAGCTCGGAAATGGACAATAGTAATCATGGCGGTGGTCTTAGAAGAAACGATAATAATAATGATAATGATAATGATAATGATAATGATGATGATGATGATGATGATGATGATGATATTAACAACAACAATAATAATGATAATAATATAAGAGATACCATGGATATCGATAGCAATAACAATAATAATAATAATAGTAACAATAATAATAATAATAATAATAATAATAATAATAAAAAGCATAAAAACACAGCTCTAATAAATGCCATCAATCGTAAAGTGCAACACGAGACGAATCCTACAGAATATCATACTCAAATTCAAATTCACACCCAAAACGACGAACCAGAAACACAAAGAAAACAACAAGAACAACACGATTGTGAGTCACCGTCCTATCATCATCATAGCATTCAACAGCATTCGCATCCGAATCTACATCATCATCATCACTATCAGCATCATCAACGTGAACATCTGCATCATCATACGAATGCCGGATTCGGCGGTCATTGTCCGAATGAGCCAGAAAGCGATGAAAGAGCTGGCAATAATAATAATAATAACAACAACAACAATAATAATAATAATAATAATGATAATAACAATAACAACAACAACAGCAGCAATCATCAGTTGGACTTGAGTACAGTGAAAAGTATAGCGACAGCGGAAATATTATGTGGTCTTAAGAGTAAAGTTTTCAAAATGGAAGAAATCGACTCCAGAGAAACGGTTGCTTCAACAGCAGCCAGTACCACTTGTCGAAATCTCAATGAAATCAAAAATGCCGAATGACAAATGAAACGAATCATAAAACGATAATTTTCTTCCTCTTTTTCCTTTTTTTGTTTTTGCTTTTGTATAAAAAGTAATAACGAACACGACAAAAACGATCGCGTTTAAAAGGGGCGGGCGGGATGATGACGGGTTGACGGAATGAGGGGATGAAGGGATCAGGGGATCAGGGAGAGGGAAAAAGGGAACATGTATTAGCCAAGATGAGGCTAAATAGGATTGATTGTGTAAGCGTTTAGCCGGCTAAGCGAACTTGAATGCGAACTTTCATCAAAACTTATTTATTTTGTTGGGTCGGGATCGGGATCGGGGTCGGTGGCAGGGGCGGGGGCGGGGGCGGGAACGGGGGCAGGCAAGGTGAGTTTATGTGTATTTGTGCATTTGTTTTTTATTATTATTATTATTATTATTATTAACATAATGCTTATATTTAATTATTAATGCAACCGTTTTTGTGTAATTTTAGTTATTATTTATTTTTATATTTATAAACTTGATTTTGTAGAATTAATACGCAACACACTAATGTAAGTTTCTTTTCTAATAAATAATTAAAACAGAAAGGGAAAAAAAAAAGAGTGCAAAAACCTTTAAAGGCGCGCCCGCCTATTAACGGAAGACGCAATATACTGCATTTTCTTGCTTGCCAGTCCATCAGCTCTTTTTTTTTTTTTTTTGTTTTTTCTTGTTTTCGTTTTCGATGACACACAGTGGTCCTTAGAAAAAACTTTGTGTTTCTCAAAGCGAAAAGCCAAGCATGAACAGCATGAGTTATGTAGTTTTGTAAGACGTCGCTATAAAAAATTTTCATTTCATTCTCAAATTTTTATAAATTGAATTTTAACGCATACACACACATACACACACACACACACACGCACACGCACACATACTGATTATTTATTTTACATTATATATCAACTTTTCATTGTTTTATATATATATATATATATATATATATATATGTATATATATTTATATCTATTTATATTTATATTTATACTTAGTTAGTAATGAGTTTCATCGCTATTTTCGGCATTTTTTTCCCCCAATTTTATTCTTTTTTCTTATTATTAAAAAATTGTTACAAAAAATTTGTTTCTTTTTTTTTTGTGTTTTATTTAAATTCATAATTTTTGTAATAAATGGTATATTAAAATAATGTTAATAAAATTTTTAAAAAAACTTTCAAGTTTTTTTCTTAATCAAAAGAATTTTACTTTATTCATCATTTACCATTCGTTTCCTATGAATCAGCAAAGAGGAGGATGGGATACCCCATCTTGGACTCGTTAATCTTTATTTCAGTTCAAATGCTAGAATTATTGTGTTTTATTTGTAATACGCTCTTAAATGATTTATCCAAATCGAAGCATTCAAATTTTCCCCGCCCTCACCCTTGACACATTCCTGCATCTCAACAGCATATTTGTAGGCATCCTTATTAATCCTCCATTCTTTTGGAACATTTTTCTGAAATGATTGAACACAAAATTCTCCTAATTGCATATATACATACACGTACACACATTACATATTTACATATAAATAGAATTCCGCTATAAAAGAGCGAATTGATAGCTTTCCTGCCACATTTCTCGTTTTCAATACGCATTTGTACGCTTAAATTTCACAATGCAATACTCAGCCAGGTGAAGTGTGTGCAAAAACAATTATGCCGAGTTTGCATGACACACTTCACTGGTGGTTGCATATACCGATATGCGATCACACTACAAGATAATATATATGGGAAAATTTGGAAAGTAAGAAAACTACATTCGTCTGTGGCTGTATCTGTTATCTTAAAAAAAGCATAAAAACAAAAACAACAATTCAAAACATTATAGCGGACCACGGCCCACTACTAAATAGCCTACAGCCTAGCTTCATATAATTGGTGTCAAAATAGGGTACCATGTGTGAAGGTGAAGGTCGAAAAAATGATTTGATTGAAACAATTTTTGCAGCGTTCGTCTGATAGGAGCCAAAGCATGTCGGCGTACAAAATTTCATCAAAATATTTCACAAAAACGGACAAGCGGGGAGACATGTTTAGATCAGTTTAAGAAGTTACTCTGAATCGGTTAGTGAATTAAAAAAAGGAGTCTATCTGATGTGCTTCTGAGTGTTACATACATACATAATATACGCTTGCATCGTAAGTGATGAAGGGTATAAAAGTTTACAAGCCGTTTAACTAGCTGTGCTATAACGAAGACATTGCCAGCTTAAAAACTTTGTTTAAGGCTGAATTCATTCAACTTCGCCTGCGTCTAATAGCCGTACAAACTGCATCCACAAAGTAAGGACATTCGGCTTTTTTTTGCTCTTGTCATATTTGATGCGTTGAACGCTAAGTAAAGACAACAACCATTGCTTTATATATTAATTACGTGTATGATAAGAAGAAGAAGCTTTAGAAGAAAAGCTTGATGCTTCTTTTAACAGACAAACATACTTTTAGGGAACGGTTGGCGGGGAAGAGGCAAACGGCTTTTCTCTGGAGAGAATAAATTTCGGAAATTTCTCTTTTATTTTATTTTTCATTTTTAAAAGTGTGTGTGTTTTTTTTTTCCTACTTACTTCACGTTTTTCTTGTTTGTTTTCTTTGTGGGCTTTTTATTACTTCCATGCGCGATAACGATAAATATGAAAATTTCAAGTTTTGTATATTGTAAGAATGAATATAATGTGTGTATCATCATGCTCGGCATTAATTGAATCGAAAATTTGATCTAATTTTGGATGAATCATAACTTAATCTTGAAGATAACGACATTTTGCCTAAGAATCTCTTCCATTTATAGTATCTGACGTGAATCGCGAAGAATAAGATATGTTAAGGTAATACTTTTCCAGTGCACCGAGAACGAGACCGCCATTTAAACGAAGCAATGAAAAACGAAAAGAAAAAGCCGCTAAACACTTTAAGGAAAACTTGAAGAAGAAGACAATGCATAAAATAGAGGGTTAACTGATTAAAGGAGCTAAGCCAAGCGAGCCAAGCAAGCAAAGCAAACTCGTATTGTAAAAAAACGAAAAACCGGTTAAGAAAAATACGCAAAAATTAAAAAAAAAAAAACATAAATAATAATTAAAATAAAATACATAAAAAATGCAACACAAACATATATTTCATATACAATAAATAAAATTTTGGGAAAATTTGTTGGGGAAGAGATACTCTTTTTTTGAAATTTTCATTTCAATTTTAGGAAAAAGACAAAGCAAAAAAAAAAAAAAAAAAACTACTTCCCGTAATACATTCAACTAAACTTACAATATCCATCTGTGGCAATCTGTATCTGAATTCAAAAGTTATCCTTCGCCAGAAGAAATTCTAAATTGTCGGGGAAAAGCAAAGACTAAAACAAATATACATTAAGGCACTCCTGGGCTCACTTATCGTAATTACAGATATTCTGCTACTAGTACTATTACTACTACTACTACTACTACTACTGCTGCTACTATATACGCATTACAAAAACTGACGAATTGCGTATTTTTAGTAGATTCGCGCCAAGGCAAATTTATCAACAAACCACCCTTAAGAGAATTTTTAGGTATTTTGGAAATATATTAAAAAAAAAAAAGAATGAAAAAACAAAAAGTTGAAATAAAGATAAGCATAAGCGGTTAAATGTTAACAGAAATATTCAATGTTACTTGTGACAGAATTTTAATAAAAAACTTCCCTCTAACTCGATATTTAAAAAGGATGGCAGAGAAAAGCAGAATTAAGAACAAAGGAATTCAGAGAGCCACGAAGAGATAGAAAACGACAGAAAAATTGCGAGGATATAAAAAAGTTTGATGACAGTCTCTACAGAGAGCAATAGAGTGCGAGAGAGACTATAATCTAATTGATAGTTAATACGAATTGGATACCAGTGAGTTTGTAAGAAAATATTTCGAAATCATATGCAAAAAAATTGTAACGGCTATGGAGTAAGCCAACAAGTGAGTAAGTATATATAAATATGACGAAATCTTTAAAGACAAAAAAAAAAAAAGAAGAAGTTAAAGGGTTAACAACTAATAAAAATTTCCAAAGTGTAATAAGTAATACTCCTAAAAACGCAGTTACATACAAAAATTATCAGCCGATAAAATAAATCTTATTACAGGTAAGAGAATGATAACGAGAGTAGTACAATATATATATACTTCTGCCGTTCACAAAAAATACACTAAAACAAAGTGAATGAATAATAATCATTCGAAGAAGAAAGAAGACAAGAAAATAAAATGCTGCTTGTTTTTAGGTAAAATTCATTTTCAAAAATCGTTGCCTACTTTTAAGAGCTAGAGAAGAAAAAGATTCTTGTTTTTTTTTTTTTTTTTTTTTTTTTTTGCTTTAATCAACACAACAGAATCATCTATTGTTGATTTGCCGGATTGCAGACGAAGGAGAAGAAGATAAAGTTTCTCAAAAATATCAGTTAATAACAACGAGGCGACTAACGCTTCTAAAAATTACGTAAAAGCCTATAAATGTTTCCGAGTTTTTTTACTATGACTTTTTATCAAGGATCGGCATATTAAATCCGCGTAATACTTGCAACGCATAAAATATGCATCGGGGACCCGTTTTGTAGATATACATATATATATGTCGTATTGATGAACGTGAACAACAGAATCGATTTAGTTCTGTCCATCAATCTGTCTGTCTGCTCTAACTAAGGTTTTCAAAGAAATTTAATCTTAGCATATAGATGCTCTTTACATATTTTCGTATTCTACTGGTTAAGTTAAAAAATTAGGTAAAAGTATCCAAATGCAAATTTTGAGCGGATACAATTAATTACGGAGATCTTCAAGTCGATATCAATGGGATGGTCGGACGACATATAAATGTCGCAAGTATTGGCGAATCCATGATTTTTAGCTAACATCAACCTTCAAATGTACATTTTGTTTGCAATATCATGACACACCTTCCTGTCACTAGTTTACAAACTAGAGCACCTTTAGTGTCATTTACTTACGCCGTACGACACCGTATACGACATCGATAAATTATATCAGGACCAAGTTCGTGACGGGTCTTAGAGGCTTTTAGCCGAGCCGAAGACAACTTCTTTCTTCTTTTTGATATTTGCTTACTTAAATTTACAAGTAAATAAAGATCCCCTTCAGCATAGGCCTTTTTTGACACTTACTTAAAGAAAAAATTTAATAATTATATATTCCCATTATGCTAAATATATGACCTAATGTTTTCTTATAGATTGTAAGTATAAATATTTCATTGCCTACTT